AACAATATCAAGCAAGAAACACATACTAAAATCCAGAGAAGTATAGAGCATAGGTAAACAGCATGTTATAAAGATCATTCAAAGGTGTCCTATCCTAAAGAACCCGAACCTAATACTTAATATGTTCTATCTAAGATATTATATATACTAAGTTGTAACTATAACTGCTAGTCATTTCATGTTTCCATTATTTCTCTTGCTCGACAGGAACGCTCTGTGTGGGAAGCTTCAGTGTGAGAACGTGCAGGAGATGCCAGTGTTCGGGATCGTGCCGGCGATCATTCAGACACCGAGTCGAGGCACCAAATGCTGGGGCGTGGACTTCCAACTTGGTTCGGATGTCCCTGATCCAGGGATGGTGAATGAAGGCACAAAATGTGATGTTGGAAAGGTAACCTACATTTTCTATGTACAAACAAAAACCACTTTAGAAATCGTTATGCAAAGTTGGTGGCTGGCTTCTTCCCTCTGGGGGGGAAAGAGTTTGTATCGGAGCATTTTTAGAAAATCCAAAGCCACCGGATGAAGCTTGGGGACAGTTCTAATTGTGCCACCTCTGTTTCTTCCCAGGAGTCCTCTGATGTCTTCCATGTTGGAATACTCTGTACATGTTTCTTTGCCCTGTGAATGTGCTATCATTTGTTAGCCAGGTTGCTCTTACTGGGGAACTTAGGTGATTTCCCCAGTTCTTGGGACGGAAGCTCGAGTTCCTGCATTTGTGTGTGTCTGTGCCTCTGGGTCAATAATGTCATGGTGCTTGCCCTGCCCGTGTTCCTTGAGTCCACCGTGAGCCCAGGATTTGCCAGCGTATGGCTCACAACCAGTGCTTCCGTGTGAGTGGGTGATCAGGGGCTTGTCCCCTCTGAAATGATTATCGCTGTGACAGAAAGAGGTGCTGGCTGTCCAGGTTCAAAACCATAATCAACAAACCATGCCCCTCTCTTTTCTCAAGACTTAGCAAAAGAGATGGCGATGTTTGTGTGTGTGTGTGTGTGTGTGTGTGTGTGTGTGTGTGTGTGTGTGAGAGAGAGAGTGTGTGATAAGTTCTGCTGGATTGGGATGTTGAGATACTTCTTTAAGTATTTCTTTGGAATGCAACAGCCGTGGTTAATGAGCTGAGTATGTATCACTTCTAGATGCATATTCAGAATGTATTTGCAAAGAATATAATCTTACAACGTGTAGTGTTTGAAACTGTGCGCTCAGGTCTTTCAAATTCTTAATGTGCTAAAGTTTTAGAGAAATAGTTAGGTCCTTAGTTTCATCCTGTTTTCATTTCTCATGTAAATTTCTTTTGTTCTAAGAATGCCACGTTAGTGTCAATTTCTTGGCAATTATATTTTAATGGTAGGTTATAGCTTTTATTAATGTAAGTGCCCCTTTGCTTAATGTTTTTATGCTAAATTTTCCTTTAATTGATATTATTACTGACGTTCCTGATTAAATTGTATAACAGGGTTAAAAATCTTAAAATGGAACTCTAAAATGACATGTTAAGTATGTGCCTTGAGTGATTAGATGTTATTTGCTCTCAAGTTTCTCTTTTAGGAGCTTTTTTGAGTTCTGAAATGTGGCTAGTCAGTGGCACAGCACAGAGATCCTCAGGTCTGTGTGAAGCTCTCCTGGTCTATAGTTCACTTATTTAACTACTACTAAAAGTATCTACATTTGATCATTTGATCTCTCTACTTCTTTGGTTCTTCTGTAGGGTAGTTTGCTATAAGAGTTTTTTTTTTTTTAATTAAGGGACATGTACATTTATTTCCTTAATTTTTTACTTTTGCACATGCATATTTAAATTTTGATAGGAACTGCCAGTTTACCTTTTCCGTAGTGTGGTAACATTTTACACATCACTAATAATAGTCTGTGAGATGTCTTTAGGACAACGTTTTTGCGAATGCCAGGCCTTTTTTTAAAGTTAGTTTCTAGAGCAGGCCTCCCTGTGGCTTCTTCAGAAACCTTTGGTTTTGGTCAGTTCTCCCTCCCGCCCTCCCACCCTCCTTCCTCCATTCCAGTTTAAACCTGGTCCGCTCTTTCACATCACGCATCTTCTCCCTCCCCACCTAAGGCACCTTCACTTCCTGCCATGGCCCCTTTCTCACTTTGGGTCTCTTTAGACATCTGGTTCACAAACAGATCTAAAAACTTGAAGCTGTGATGCACATATCAGAAGAGGAAACACTTGTCTTGGGGTCAGAGTCACCTCTCAGAATATTTCCAGTTCTATCCATTCATCTGCAAATTTCATTTCTCTTTACAGCTGCATAAAATCTCATTATTTTGTTAGTCTGTGTGGTATCTGTAAGGTCATTGTTGCCCTGTTACAGAGCTGGATCATGTGATATGTGTGATAGATCTATTTCTAGCCTTTTGAGGAACTTGCAAACTGTTTTTCATAGTGTCTGCATTAGTTTGCATTTCCACCAGCAGTAAATAGGGGTTCCCCTTTTTCCACATTCATGCCACTATTTGCTGTCATTTTTAAATCTTAGCCATTTTGACTGGGGTAAGGTGAAATCTTAACGTAGTTTTGCTGTACATTTCCCCGGTGCTAAGGATATTGAACATACAAATACATTTCTCAGCCGTTTGTATCATATCAGTTGTTTAGTTCTGTGCCCCATTTTGATCTGGTTATTTGTTCTTTTTAGTTTTTTGAGTACTTTATATATTCTCGATACCGACCCTCTGTCGGATGTAGAGCTGATAAGGGTTTTTTCCTGTTCTGCAGGCTGCCTTTTCTGTCCAATGATGGTGTCCGTTGCGATACAGAACCTTTGAAGTTTCTTGGGGTCTACTCTGCCACTTGCTGGTCTTAATGCCTGTACTTCCGGGGTCCTGTTCAGAAAGTCTTTTCCTTTGCCTATGAATTCAAGTGCGTTCAAGAAATTTCCATGTCCTGTCTGTCAGTTTCAGAGGACTGGTCTTACAATGATGTTGTTGATTCATTTGGAGTTGAGTGTTGTATGGGGTGCTTTCTTAACGTAAGCACTTAGAGCTGTGAACTTCTGTCTTAGGATTGCCTTCATTTATGTCCACAGGGCTGGCGTGCTGTGTTGCTGTTTGCATTTGATCCCATTTCTAGTTTCCTTCTTGATGTGTTCAAGGACCATTTATTGTCAGTAGTGTTTTCTTTAAACTCCCCTAGTCTGTGTGTGTTCTGGGGTTCCCTTGCTGTTGATAAATCACAATCCTACTCCTTTGTGATTAGATGGACGGTGAGGAATTATTTCCTTTTCAGGCTTTGTTTGTGTCCTAATGTATGATACAGTTGAGAAAAAGTTGCCTGGGCAGCTGAAAGCATGTGTGATCCGCAATGCTGGGATGGATGGACTGTCTCTCGATGTCTGTTACATTCATTTAATCCATTACGTCATTTAATTTGGGTACTTCTCTGTGTATTTTTGGTTGGGATGACCTGTCAGTTGGAGAGTGGAATATTGAAGTCGTCACTCCCATTGTTTCGGGGGTCCATCCAGACTTTACATACGTTGTTCTTGTTGTATGTAATGGGATGCACCTGTGTTTGGGACAGCGTTTAGAACCCCAGTGTCCTCTTGACGGAGTGTCCCTCTAGTCAGTACGCAGTGGGCTTCTTCATCTCTCTCACTAGTTGGCTGGAAGTCTGTTTTCTCAGGTACTAGAGCAGACAACTGCACATTGGTTATGTCCATCTCCTTGGAATTCTCTTTCCTTCCTTTCACCCTGCAGTGATGTCAGTCTGTCTGTTGTGGTGAGGTGCGTCTGGGAAGCAGGAAATAGATGGTTCCTGCTTTGTGCTCTATTCATGTGTGTCTTTTGGTTGGGGAAGTTGGGATCATTAACATTCAGAGTCATTATTGAAAGGTGTGTGTTGATTCCTGCCATTCGATTGGTTTTATAGTGTTTGGTTTTCCCCTTTTCCTCTCTTGCTTAGTTATTATTCTAGTGTGGTTTATTATTTTTTATGGTATGTGCATGCATGCATAGGTGCACATGTGTGTGTGTGTGTGTGTGTGTGTGTGTGTGAGAGAGAGAGAGAGAGAGAGAGAGAGAGAGAGAGAGAGAGAGAGAGAGAGAGAGCTTGCA